TGTTTGTTTTAAATTGAGAAAAGAGTTTTAAAAATAAAGTTGAGACTGGCATCAAACATGTAAGCCTTCTGTCTCAACTTTTCAAGTTGCTAGGATTACAGGTACATACCACTGTACCTAGCTTTCTGTTAGTTATATATGATTTCTCTATGCCTCCATAACTACTTTCTTTGAGTAAAAATAAATACTTTCTAGTATAATATTTTATTCCCCTTTTTTTGTTTGTTTGTTTAGTATATTCACGGTTTTGTTTGTTTTTTGTGTTTTTTTTTGTGGGGCGGTGGTGGTGATTGCTCTGGGAAATGCAATTCATATCTTTATTAACAAAAATTGAGTTTGAATTAATACCAGCTTAATTTGAGTAGTATAGAAAAATTTTGTTCCTATAGGTATTATTCCTTTTCCCCTCCTTTGTGTTATTATTGTCATCCATGTTGCATCTTTATAAACATTATACGTTCACCAAGACAGATTCACAATTATTGTTTTATGCATTTACTTGCTAAATTAGATAGGAAAAGTTAGAAACAAAAAGTAAACGTAATTTTAAGACCAGAAAAATACATTTTTTTACTTCTTTTTTTTTTTAATTTTTTATTGTTGGTTGTTCAAAACATTACAAATTTCTTGACATATCATATTCCACACTTTGATTCAAGTGGGTTGTGAACTCCCACCTTCACCCCATACACAGATTGCAGAATCACATCAGTTACACATCTATTGATTTACATATTGCCATACTAGTGTCTGTTGTGCTCCGCTGCCTTTCCCATCCTCCACCCTCCCCCCTCCCCTCCCCACCTCTCCCCTCCCCTCCCCTCCTCTCTCTCTACCCCCTCCACTGTATAACCCTGAGGGTCTCCTTCCATTTCCATGCAATTTCCCTTCTCTCTCCCTTTCCCTCCCACCTCTCATCCCTGTTAAATGTTAATCATCTTCTCCTGCTCTTCGTCCCTACTCTGATCTTAGTTACTCTCCTTATATCAAAGAAGACATTTGGCGTTTGTTTTTTAGGGATTGGCTAGCTTCACTTAGCATAATCTGCTCTAATGCCATCCATTTCCCTGTAAATTCTATGATTTTGTCATTTTTTAATGCAGAGTAATACTCCATTGTGTATAAATGCCACATTTTTTTTATCCATTCGTCTATTGAAGGGCATCTAGGTTGGTTCCACAGTCTTGCTATTGTGAATTGTGCTGCAATGAACAACGATGTAGCAGTGTCCCTGTAGCATGCTCTTTTTAGGTCTTTAGGGAATAGACCGAGAAGGGGAATAGCTGGGTCAAATGGTGGCTCCATTCCCAGCTTTCCAAGAAATCTCCATACTGCTTTCCAAATTGGCTGCACCAATCTGCAGTCCCACCAGCAATGTACAAGTGTACCCTTTTCCCTATTTTTTTACTTCTTATTTTTATTTTATTTTTATTTTTTTGTGGTTCATATTCTTTATTTCTTTTTTTAATTTGTTTTAATTAGTTACACATGACAGTACAATGATCCAGAAAAATACATTTATACTGTAATTCACTGATGTAGTTACCTTACTTATGCTTCTTATTTCTCCTTGTGGAATGAAGTTACTGTCTAGTATCTTTTCATTAGGTTAGCTCGACTAGTGATGCATTTTCTGTTTCCTGGGAATGTCTTAATTTTCCTTGTTTTCTTAAACAATAGTTTTGTTGAATATATAATTATTAACAGTTATTAATAGTTAACAGTTTTTCTTATAGCGCCTGCAGCGTGAGTGATGAGAAAGAGAGATGGAGGGACTGAGAAATGAAGGCAAGAGGAAGAGAGAGAGGGGCAGAGGAGACAGAATGAGAGCACCAACGTTCAATGATATTCCAGCTAGAAATTTCAGTCATTTGTAACCTGATCTTTAAAGTAACCACACATTTCCACAAATCACCATGGTACAACATGGAGTGGACTACAAAATAATTTAATACAGGAGACACAGGAATCATTTCAAAGCCATCTTGCAGCTGGCTACCACACAGAGCTTGTTAAACTTTTTAAAGTATTTAACATTGAAAAATGAAAAGATAAGGCAAAATAAGTAAGTCTCTGTTTTTGAGGGCAGTAGATTCACTTCTGTATGGCAGTGCTCGCTCTTTTCTAGCTAAATAAAATATTCCCTCAGTATCCATGGTGATTGTTTCCTGGAGCACCCCATCAACACACACACACCCCATAATCTCTGGATACTCAGTCCCATATATAAAATGGTGTAGTATTTTTATATAATCTATGCGTGTTTTCCCATATTTATCTGACCTTTGTAAAAGTGAATTTAAAATCCCTTACCAAGTTCTTGAGTTATCATTTGCTTATTTTAGTTAGGACAATTTGGACTAGTGATGTAGGATACTTACTGATTATTCAGCAGCTGATTAGCATTGTGTTTGTGTCTATCTCTCTTTTTTAATTTCACATGGGGGTTTGTTCTATATTGTAACATAAAAGGTACAAAGAAGAAGTTAGTGAATAGAACAGAGTTTATAAACTTAGCTCTAAACTTAGCCCTAAAGTATAACTCTAGTTAAATGATACAAGTTTATGTCTTCATTCCTTATTATGTCTTCATTCCTTTCTGGCAAATTTTATCCTTATCAATTAGCGAGGTGATAATAATGTTAGTCAATTAATGGCAGGACAGTTAACTAAAATATCTAAAAGCAAAGCCAATGTCTCTTTTAAACACATAATGGAAAGCAAAATTAGGTTTGAAAAAAGAGAAGAATGTTCATACAAGATTTCAAGATTCCTAAAGGTTTATATATTTGGAATTCTTGTGTGCAACATGGAAACTTTTTATTTTGATGATTCACTTTAATTAAGGTATATATGATAATGCTAACTATTCTGGACCAAAAAGGATTAAATGGATTTACAAATTATATCGTTTCCCCAGTTATTCTTAGTTTTACTTACTTGTCATTTTATGATTTAAATAAAATATAATTAAAACTAAAAATAAATAAAATATAACTGCTTAATTTGCATCTTTTTGTTTCTCTTGTTCTTTCTACTATGATTTCTGATAGTAGGTAACATCTAATGAACTTTTAATATGCCAAATGCATAGTTTAGCATTTTACCTCCAATCTCTTGTGATCCTTACAGCATCCTGTAAGCAAGCATTTCTGTAATTTGAGACAGGGTCTCACTGAGTTGCTTAGTGCCTCACTTTTGCTGGAGAAATTAAAACATGGAGAATATATATATAATAAAATACCCTGATCATAAAGATGGCTAAGATTGCAACCTGTAGCTATGGTTTTTATTCCAGTTTCCAAGAGCAAATAGTGGGGGTTTTTCCCATTCAAGTTCTAAATAAAGAATAAAAGTGAAGGATAAAATGTTACTTTCTCTATAGAACCAGTATCTCTTCTCTCAGATTTTTTTTTTAAATTCAAACTTCTTTGTTTCATTAGAGATAAAATATTTTTCATTATGTAGTATCTGAAATATAGATTTTTCAGAGTTTATTATGTAGTATCTCTAGCAGGTCTGAGAAAGTGCTCTGTGATCAGATTTATTGACATTTCTACAGAACCATAAATGGACACATATTGATTTAGGTCATGTTTTGCTACCAGATGTGATAGGGAGGCAGGATTGTGTATCTCCTCTCTTCAAAATAGTAACATTTTAGAGTCATAGACCTATGGTGATAGATACTAGTTGCAGAACTCCTCTTCAGATCTCTTGGAAAAGTTTTTCTAATACTTAAATGAAACTAGGGAGAGTTGTGCCTTCAGTCTTAGCCAAGGATCAGGAAAGGCCTATTCATACAATACTACTTTGCCTGGATAAGTGGTTAGGTATTTAAGGTTCAGAGAATTAGTATCTCTAGAAATAGGGACACTTAAGCAAATATATCCTTCCAATTTTACCAGTCACTCTACCTCTGAAGGCCAGTATATATAAAGGAATTGGAGTAAAACTAGCAGTATGTACAAAAAAGCCACCACCATTACCACTGTCAAACAAATCTCTATACTGCTGTTATACACTGTGTTTACAAATGCCCTATCATTATCACACAACTTATGTCACACTATCTATCTTTCAGTTGTTTTTGCCCATTATGCAAATTTCAGGCAGAATTATATACTACTGTTGAACTTCTTTATAGTGGGTATCTTATCAAATGATATTTATAGAATTAAGGATTAAGAACCTCAACAATTCTGTCATTTTATAGGGAATCATAGGAGATGCATGCTGAAGTATCTATGAATGAAATGTCCTAATTCCATAGAGTCCCTTCAGTGTCTCTCCACATTAATAACAGGAAAAAGAAATGAAATGTAATGAATATTAACAATTCTTGAAGCTTTATGGAAGCTTTGTCATCATACTATTCAATTTTTTGTGATCAAAATTTTTCTATGTAAAAAGTTTAAAAATTCTTGAAAAAATTTAGGGTACAGAAATACATATTTAACAAATTTGAAAAACTCAATACAGAGTTTTTTAAATGTTAATGCATGTACTCTGTATATTAAATTAAAAATTGCTTGGTGGGCTGGTGATATAACTCAGTGGTAGAGCACTTGCCTAATGTGCATGAAAACCTGGATTCAACCTCAGTGCTACCAAAAATTAAAAGAGAGAGAGAGAGAGAGAGAGAAAGAATGCTTGGTTATTCATATACATAATTTATATTCACATACTAATTATTAATATCTAATATATTTAAATATTAAAATTCTGAAAATAAGTTCTGCTTATGTCTAATTGTCTATCTGTATTTTAATTTGGTACAGAGAATGTTTATTTGCAAGAATTGAGAAAATATGATGTTTTGGGGGGATATGTTATCACGAAAATAAATGAGGCTTCTGTTTCTCAGTCCAGAAACCATTGGCAATTGAGAACTGTTGCTAAGACTTCTAATATCACTAATTTTGTAATAAAAATAAGTTTAAATGATGGTGGTTTACATTTCCCTTTTTTAGTGATTATTGTATTTATTTCTTCCCTAGATCTTCCTCAGAACTGTGATCCTAACATTCCCCTAGTTGCTCAGGAATTAATGAAAAAGATGATACGTCAGTTTGCAATTGAGTACATTTCAAAAAGTGGTAAAATTCAAGAGAATAGAAATGGTTCAATTGGACCAAGTCTCCTATGTAAAAGTATCCAAATGAATCAAGCAGAAAACTCCCTTCAGGAAGAGCAGGAAGGCCCCTTAGACCTCACTGTGAATCGAATGCAAGAACAAACTACTCAGCAAGGTAAGATTTTTGTGTGTGCACAGTATGTAATTTTATGTTTTAATATCCTTAAACATATACAAAAGTTTTTGTATTCATAGGGAAATTTATCTTAGAAGTAACATTATTTTAATTTGCCTCTGTAATATGGTCTAGAGAAAAAAGCAAATTTAGAATTTTGTGTTGCATTTTTAATTATTTATAAAAGAAAATTTGAATTGGTCTCATCTCTTTACAATGAAGTATATGGTAAGAAATTCACAATAAACAAACTAAAAGATCCGAGTAAAAAGTTGTTTATAAATTACCTTTAAAATGGGCTGTTCCATCTTTTGTATTTAGTTGAGAAATAAAAGAAATAGATGAATTATCTTTTAATTGTTTGTGATGTAACTAGAAAAAGAAGAAACTTAGTATATGTGACAAATATAATGTAATCATGTACTGAATTGTATAGGGACAGATTTTTCAGAAGGTTGAATGATGAAGGCCATATTAAACTCATATCTAACTGAGTTTAATTAAAGGAGAACCTTGAGTTAACAGAGGAAAGTCAGGAAGAGCCTTTTGAAGTGTGAGGGAATGTTATCAAATAAATACTTGTGTGGAGATGAGAGAACAAGTAGCTTTTGTTAACCTGGGCTAAAGATTATGTCTTGGAAGCGATAAAAACGTTAATATTAAATTTGATCATTGAAAGCAGTGGTGTTATTTCAGGACTCTCAAAAGAAAGTACAGAAATCAGTATAGATATAGAAGGTATAGAGTTTTCAGTTTTTAAGTCAGATTAAAATTGAGAGGGACTGAAATATGGATATAATTTTCCCTTGTTTTGAAATATGGATTTAATTTTTCCTAATTTTAGGTTATATGAGTTTATTTGGAAATATTTGAGAAACATTAAGATAATAATTATGTTGTTAAGACAAAAGAAATGTCAAAGGTAACTATGATATAAGGCTTAACAAAAAATATATTGGTACATAGAATTTTGGGCATTGGAAAGCAGAGCATTTTTTAAATATTTATTTGCAATGCATGTTTTATACTCCTTTATATCACCTCCCCTTTTATGGAGGCATTTTAAAATTCTCAAGATGTGAGAACATAGAGTTGGGCTTATGACAGACTTGTGATTGAAATCTCAGCTATACTACTTAAATTCCTTTTACAAGTACTTACCTATCAGCGCTTTAATTTCTCACTTTTAATTTGCCTATGCTAACAATGAATTTGCTGGAGCAATGTGAGAAGTAAATAAAAATTAAACTCACAGATGGGCAACACTAATCTTTCCATATTCTCCACCTCCCATTCTTAACCACCACAGAAGAGAAGCCTTAGAAGTAACATGATAGTGAGCTGTAAATATTTGTATAGCTGTTACATTGAAGCAGGACTGACCTTTTTCTACATGGTCCAGGAAGTAGAATTAGGAAAATTAGCTGTAAATTAGAGGGAAATATTTCAGGTGAATGAAAGGAAGATTATTTCTGAGGATTAGATATATCTCAAAGAAGAAAAAGGACATGATTCCTTTATTACCTTGTCTTTGGAGGTATTCAGGAGCATTTGATAAGTGTTTAAAATAGGTGTTACATTTTAAAATTAAATTTTTAAAATTTTTAGTCCTCAGATTCTATTATTCTAATGAACATAACTGGTAAGACAGATCCAAGCATATACAGAAAATAACATAAAACGTTTAAACTATTGTCATATTCTAGGCAAAGTATACAGATATATGAATACAAATTGAAGTTGTAAAAGTAATGATAGTTATAAATCTAAAACTAGTCTTCTTGATACTTTAAATACTTGAGTAACTTCTTGATGTGATTTCCTTTTTCTTTAGGACAAAAATCATTTAGTGTGATTATTAGCATAGCGAACAAGGGGGTATAGTGACAGATGAAATGAAGGAAATAAGTGGGGACCGGATTATGAAGAAACCATAAAATATTGAAGATTTTGACTTTGCATGGGGGCCATGAAAAAATGCTTGACCATTTGGAGTGGAGAGTGACACGATCAGATTTTCTTTTATAAAACCATTTTGCCATGGTATGGATTAGTAGTTTCTCAGATGTGTATACTTGCATACAAAAAAGAAAAAGTGGACCTGCATACTTTCGATGAATGTGTATGTGTTTGTGTGTCTGTGTCTACTGATAAATTAGATGTACTGATGTTTCTACAAATTAAAACACTTTTAAGATTGAAATGAAGATGTTATAAACAAAATTTTTAATGTCTTGCTAATCGTTATGACTGACTGACTTACTACCTGTCTTATTGCATAATACATACTTCAGGATTCATTAGCAATGACAGAAAGTATAAATCCATATTTCAAGTAGATTCCTTAAGAATTGGAAGTTTTATTGGCTCTTTTTTACTGTTCTTAAGAGTTTGGTTAATACGGTTCTCATACAGGTAGTGACACCACTTCCTTTTCATTGTGGCCATTTGCTATTGCTTAACATTTTTCCAAAATGAATGATTATACCCTGGGAAAACTGGAATATGGACATTTACTCTTAATGTGCTTACAAATTCATTGTCATTCCAGACAAAATTCTAATAGGGTTTATTGTTAAATACGGCTTGTTGAACTTGAAATTTACAAGCAAAACTTAAAGAATAAAAAAAAAAAGTAAAATTGGCAAGGGACTTTCTCTAAAAACATCAAGACTTAAATAATAATTAAAAAGGGGTGCTGTTAGCCAGGATGCAAATCAATAAAACAGATTAATAAGCCTAGAAATTCCCCCAAACATTATTGGACTCTTAATACAACAAGACAGAGATGCCATTGTAAGTCACTGGGAAGGATATACTATTCATTAAACAGTTCTAGAGCAATTGGTTACTCACATGTAGTGGGAGACGGGGAGATGGATCCCCACCTTATTCCACTAACAAAAATAATTCCAGCTTGGTTAAGGGGAGAGTGAAAAATAAAACTAAGAGAGGAAAAAAATTTATAATACTTTAATGAGCTCAAAACAGGAAAGAAGATGCAAGAATCACAATCCATGTATATTTGACTGTGCTGAAATTCAAAAATTAAAAGTGCTATAGAAGTCACTTAAGAGAATGAAATGTTAAGCTTTATCTATAACTGATTTAAAAAAAAAATTGGCAAGCATTCAATTTAAGAAAAAAAAAAAAACCTGAACCAATGGGAAAAATATGCAGACACAATTCTCAGGAGATATTAGAATAGACAACTAAGCAAAGAAAAAGGTGCTTGAAAGAATATTTTGCCCTCATTCCCAATATAGAATTTTTAAATTTTGTGGTAGAAGAGTATTTAAACCTCTGATTGACTACAAATCCTTGCCACAGAACCTTTGACTGCTTCATTACACTCATATCTGAAACAAACCCATTGTTTTATGTTTCTTTCATCTGCAACAACATTTTGTTACCAATATTTACAGTAGTATATCTACCTGGGCACCACAGGATACTTGAGAGGCTGAGGCATTAGTATCACAAGTTCAAGGCCCAGTCTGGGCAACTTAGTAAGACCCTGTCTCATAATAAAAAGGACAGTGGGGCTTGACATGTAGTTCAGTGGTAGAGTGTTTGCCTAGCATGTGAAAAATAAATCCCCAGTACTGTCATAGAGAGAGACTTTTAAAAAAGAACAAAAAAAGATTTTATTTCCAAGACTTTTCTTTTCCATGCTAGCACTTTGGAAAATGTCTCATATCCTAAACTCCAGGATCCAGTTCCTTCCTACCTGTCTAGTCCCATCGTGTGTGCTTGTGTGTGTATGTGGTGTGTATGTCTGTGTGTGTGTGTGTGTGTGTCTGTGTCTCTGTTTAGTCTTTGTACTGGCTTTTTCTCAGTTTCTTGAGTAAGTCCTACCCTCTCATTACCACACGTTGGTACCTAACTGCAAAAAGAAAAGAAATGTAATCTTTCCAGTGTGTATAAATTGGATTTTTCTTTTTTCTTTTGCAAAGAACATCATTACAAAAAGGCATGTCCTTTAATAAATTCTCAAGGCTCATAAAATGTTACTTGATTAAGTAAACTAGGTATATAAAGCAAAAAAGAAGATAAATTAATGTCTTTTGTACCCATTCCATTTTTTCCCAGAAAATTTGTATAATTTAATATAAAATTGGCTACTAACCACAGGTTCACAAGTGAGAATCCACTGTTTTCTGCTTTTCCTTTATAGTTTCATGTGGTCTTTCCCCAAGGAGATAACTTTCATATTTACCTTAATATGACTTTAAGTTATAAGTATGCCACATGGTATTCTCTAGTTGATGAATAAATAAAAGCTGCTATTTTGTCACATTTTTTCTTCTATTAATTTTAACTGATATATAAAAGCAAAAATTGTACATATTAATGGAGTGTCATGCTTGTTTGGCTTGTTGTTTTTCATCATTTTTATCTTGGCCAGACCATGACTTTAACAATGAGAGAATGATAAATTCCAATACATAAAAAATGAGAAGCTTGGGTACAACACAGAAGAAACTATCATTAGAAAAATCAAAAGGCAATGGCAGCATGTGAAAAATCTGTTTTCAATTTATATTATAAAATGAAAGACCAATAGCCTTAATATTAAGAGTTCCAAAACACTGAATAGTAAAAATCAACAACTTGACAGAAAAAATGGTCATAATTATAGTTTAGTTCATTTAACAAGAAAATCTAAAAGCCTTTAAACATAGGTAAGTAGACTAATTATCCTCTTATGTGGTTCACCTCTATCAAACTGATATCAAGTTTAAAAATACTCTAATCAGGCTGTTTTAAAAAGCAGACATTCTCATGCATTACTAGTGAGAATATAAACTGATACATCTCTTATGAGGGCAATGTTTTACCCTTTGATCCAGCAATTGTATTTCATACAGTCAAGCCAATAATTAATTATACCTGTACCACAAATATGACATGATATACCTTAAGATTTTTCACTGAGACATTATAAATTTATAATAGCAAATTATTAGACATAATACAAATATCTACCAGTACTGGAC